AAGATCATGTGGAGGACTAGCAACAGGGGAGTGGGAGGAGGAGAAGGGGGGAGAAGGTACAGAAAATAAGTAGCATAGACGCTAGATAGAAAATAGATGGGGGGAAGGTAAGAACAGTAGGGGAAATATAGAATCTAAAGAACTTGAGACATGTGTTCATGAACTAAAGGGGGGAAATAGTAGGGGAGGGGTGTGCAGGGTGGAAGGGAACGGAGAGGGGAATAGAACAAATGTAATGGCATAGTCAATTAAAAAATACTTGACAGTATGCTAGGTAAAAAAAAAAGAAGTGACACATTTTAAGAGCAAATGTCTTATTACTCGTGTTGTATCTTGTAATAAATTTTTGGTCCTTCTTTTCTTCTCCTTCTTTACTTCCTTCTCCTGCCCCCAACCCCAAGCATATATACACACATACACATGCTTCTCCTATCACATGTTCAGTGACTGCATTATAACTAGCTGTGTGAGTCAGTACTGTCTTCACTACTTAGGGTTATTGTGCCTGCTGCTTTGTTACCTGATTCTTACTGTCTTTTAAGAATAGTGCAGGTATGGAATCCCCACCACCACCACCCCTATCCCAAAACTCCTCAATGTTTTTATTACAGTCTCCTTGGACTTAATCACCTCCAGATTTTTCTCGTGTCCAGCTCACCCTAAGAAAGGTCAGGGTTTCCTCCCTGTTAGAAATGGAGGCCATTGTGCAGCACAGCTTTCTCCGCTGCTTTTCACTGCTGCTCAGTGGGGCAGCCATTCAGGCTGGTCGCGCTGTGTCACTGACGCATCCCCTATGAGGTTTTAGCTGCAACAGCTCATCTACCTGACAAGGAGTTCTTTCTTTAATTTAAGTGAATGCAACAATTTGGACCTGGGGAGAAGAAAATAATTTAAGTACTGAGCCAACTCTGCCTATTATTCCATTGCGTGAACAGGAGAATAAACCTGGCGTTGGTGACAGGTGTGAACATTTCACCAAGCCAAGAGCATATTCTAGAGTTCAAAGATCAGTATTTGATTTTCTTCTCCCTCTTATTCACCCTTTTTTTTATATGTGATACTGCCGGTGAGACCTTTTGAAATCTTGACATTTTACAACTCAGAAAAACTTTGAAAGCATGGTTTTAGTCCTGGCTGGTGTGGCTCAGTGGATTGAACACCAGCCTGTGAGGCAAAGTGTAACTTTTTGATTCCCAGTCAGGGCACATGCCTGGGTTGTAGGCCAAGTCCCCAGAAGGGGGCGTGTGATAGGCAATGGATCCATGTATCTCACACACTGATGTTTCTCTCCTCTTCTCTCCTTCCCTTCCTCTCTGTCTAAAAATAAATAAATAAATAAAATCTTTTAAAAATAAATAAAAGCATGGTTTTATGTTATGGTTTGCCAGTTTATTTGATGGGTTAGCCAAAAGATTTTTAAATGTTGTAAGGAAGTTAGCTGGATGTATAAGAGAAAGAATTTTTCTCTCCTCAGGGATTTGAATTCAAAGATAAATTTTAGTGTGGTGATTTTTTTTTTTTACCTTATTCCCTGATTTTAGAACCTAACCTTCAAAGAGTATGTGACTCTGTATATTCTAATATTGTTCTTCACTTATTTTCTCTCTCTGGCTGTACTCTGAGCTTTAAGTGCAAGGACTAGGTATGTTTTTAACGCCTTACTATATTCACTGCAGAAGTCCAGTACAGAGTACTTAATAGATCGGCTTTTAAGTACGTACTGATCATTGGCTTTACAGAGTAATCCAGTGCATTGTCTTACACCTTTGTGTTACCTCCACATGCATGTGTAAGCAGTAAGCATTCTTTCCTCCTGATTTCTGACTGTGGTGGGCCGTCGGGGCTGTCATTTGATCCTGGTGTAGGTGCCGTCCAGGCCCTCCAAAATGGTGCACATATTTTTGTGTGCACATAAATGTGTGCAGTTTCTTGGTAGAGCATGTGTAATTCTCAGTAAGTTCTCAGTTTCAAAAAGGTAAAATGCCTTGGTCCTAGACGGTGGAGAAAGCAAAGAAAGCTTTCCAAAGTCAGGCTGGAGTTAGAAAAATCACCAAAAAGAAAATGATAATATGCAGTGCTGGACAGATTATTGATAAAATATATCAGTCAGTGAATTTTTAGGTACCTATAGTGTTCTTTATTATAGACAGTCACATTGTTAAATTATTTTTAAAGTGTATGTTATTGATTATGCTATTATAGTTTTCCTGTTTAGTTCTCCCCTTTATTCTCCTTTGTCCTGCACCACCCCTCCCACCAGTATTCCCCCCTTAGTTCATGTCTATGGTTTGTACACATAAAAGTTCTTTGGTTTCTCCACTTGCTGTACTATTCTTAACCTCCCTTTGTCTATTTTGTTCCTACCAATTATGCTTATTCCTTGTACCTTTGCTCCCATTCTACCCCCTTCACCTCTGAAAACCCTCCATGTGATGTCCATTTATCTGATTCTGTTTCTGTTCTGGCTGTTTGCTTAGTTTTTGTTTTCGTTGTTTTTCTTCTTTTTAGGTTCATTTGTTGTGTTTGTTATTTTATTGTTCATAGTTTTTATCTTCTTTTTCTTAGATAAGCCCCTTTAACATTTCATATAATAAGGGCTTGGTGATGATGAACTCCTTGAACTTGACCTTATCTGAGAAGCACTTTATCTGCCCTTCCATTCTAAATGACAGCTTGGCTGGATAGAGTCATTTTGGATGTAGGTCCTTGCCTTTCATGTCTTTGAATACTTTCCTTCAAGATTTCTTTTGAGAAATCAGTTGATAGTCTTATGGGAACTTTTTTGTAGGTAACTGTCTCCTTTCCTCTGCTGCTTTTAAGACTCTCCTTTAATCTTTAATCTTGGGCAATGTAAGTATGATGTGCTTTGGTGTGTGCTTCCTTGGATCCAGCTTCTTTGGGACTCTGGGCTTCCTGGAAGTCTATTTCCTTTGCCAGCTTGGGGAAGTTCTCCTTCGTTGTTTGTTCAAATAAGTTTTCCATTTCTTGCTCTTCCTCTTCTCCTTCTGGCACCGGTACAATTTGGATGTTGGAATGTTTAAAGTTGTCCTAGAGGTTCAGAGCCTCTCCTCTTTCTAAATTCTTGTTTCTTCATTTTGTTTTGGTTGAATGTTTATTTCTTTCTTCTCCAAATTTGTAATTTGAATCCTGGTTTCCTTCCCTTCATTGTTGATTTCGGGTATGGTTGTTGTTGTTGTTTTTTATTTTTATTTTTGCATAATTATGTTTTACATTATTCTTCATGTATAGTTGTCTCTATTTTCTCTCCACCCCACCCCATATATTTTCCTTTATTTCACTTTGCATAACCTTCACTTTTTCCTCTATTTTGTGATCATACTCAACCATTTCTGTAAGCATCCTGATTACCAGTGTTTTGAACTCTGCAACTGATAGATTGGCTGTCTCTTCATCCCTTGATTCTGGAGTTTTGATCTGTTCTTTCATTTGGGCCATATTTCTTTGGGTGAACCTGTTAAACATTGTAAGGGGTGGAGCCTTAGATATTTGCCAGGGCTGGACAACCCATGGCACTACATTGTGATGCTGTATGTGGGGAGGGGTCCAGGAGGGAATAGTGTACCACTTGATCAGTTCTTGGCCGGCTTTCAGTCACTCTGCAGCTACTCATAAGCAGATTGGTCCCTTTGGGTTCTGATTCCCAGTTCTGTGTGTTGCGTATGTTCTAGGACTCTGTGGGTCTCTCCAATGGATTGTCCTGTGAGGCTGGGAGTTTTCTCCAGCCTCCCCAACCTCCGCAGGTAATTTTCTGTAAGAGGTTTTGAGGTTTTATTTCTCTGCGCTAGAACCCTGGGTTGCACGGTTTGTCTCACTCCCCAGTTGTTTGTCCCAGTTTATCCGCACACAAGTGTGGGATCACCTGCTCCTCCAGCCAGTGCCTTGCTGCATGTCCTCTCTACCCTGGCTGTCCGTCTCAGCTCCTTCTACAAGTCTGGATGAATGTTTCTTCCATAACTTCTTGTTTGTCAGCCTTCCATACAGCTCAACATTCTGGCAGTTCTGGGGTTTTGTTTGTATGTTTGTTTTTAAATTTGTTGTTGTTGTTCTTTTGGTTGTGCAGGGTGGCAAAGAGTGTGTAGCTACGCCTCCATCTTGGTCAGAAGTCCCTACATTGTTAAATTCTCAGAGTGAGCTAACATAGACCAGAAAATAACACTTCACTGCTAAAAAAAGTTGGCTTATTTATTTAAAATGCATATGGTGGAGTCTTCTCTAATTTGGCATAATGCTTTATAGTGACAAACTTGTTAATAACAATGGTGAATTGTACAGTGTATTACTTTATATTAATGCCCAATTCTGCAACTTAGTTTTTTTTTTTCCTTAGGAAAAATGGCTCTGGTATCAAGAAACAAGGAAAAAACCCTGATAATTATATTTGAACTTGACTTGAACTTGACTGTGAAGTTAGCACCGACTTTGGGTGCATTAGGCCTGAGTCTGTGCCTCTGCAGTGTTTAAGGAGGCACAGGAAGAGCTGTGCACACTGAGGGCACATGGCACACAGCTTTTCTGGTATAAGTGTGAAAAAATTATTTTTACACTTAACTATTTTCCTCATTTTAGTTATAACTGCCTTAGTTTTAGAGTCCATCTTTGGGTTTGTATAAAGAGCTTATCAGAAGTATATATAATAAAATTAGCAAGATAGTTATTAATGTTTAATGATGCTATCATAGAATGTATCATAAGTTGATTTCTCTACAGTCATGAATTTAGTGACATTAACCACTAGTATTTATTTTTGTGTGTGTTACTATTTGTTAAAATAATGTCACATTGGTTTATTTTGGGAAGTAATTTTTTTTTTTTTTTGACGAACCAGAATATTCATGAAAAAACTTTAGATTTTACTTTATTTCTGATGACAGCTTGATATGTAGATTTGGAATATGTTAGGAAAAACATGTTCATGTCTAAAACACTTCTGAATTAGGAAAGAAAATCTAATGTCTTTTTTGTTTGTTTCAATTATACAGCAGATATAATTTCTACAGTAGAATTTAATCATTCTGGAGAATTACTAGCAACAGGAGATAAAGGTGGTAGAGTCGTCATCTTTCAACAGGAGCAGGAGGTAAGTGTTTCAAGTTTTTAATATGTAACTTTAAGTTTACTCTTGGGACTGGAGATTTTGTTGCACTGGAGGATCTCATCAGAGGTCATTGGAAGTTCTTAAAAGAAATGTCTGTTTATCCAGCAGAATATCCAGTGTATAGATAGCCATGTTTCTCTTAGCTTTGTGTGTGTGTATGTGTGTTGCTTTGATTTAAAACACAGTGCTTTTAATTGTAAAAAAGATTTGTCAGGAGAAGGGGGTGGAGAATGGTGGAGTAATTCAAGATATTAACTGGCTTTGAAGCCTTGGCCTTCTTTTTTTCTCTAAAAACTCCATAAAGCAAAATTGGTTTGACCTCTTCTCACTGCTTAGTTTGCTCTTGTGTGATTAGGGGTGGGAGGCCAGCTTAAAGAAAAAGTCACTCAGTTATTTTGTGTCAGTACATACTGATACTGTCACTCTGATTTAAATATAAAGGTTTTAAATGACAGTTGCATGTATATTTATGTAATTTATAAGTTCAGTACCCATTTTAAAGTGGGACTGATCTGCAAATTGCTTTGTTTTTGAAGAAAGGAATCTGTGATTGAAGCAGGTTTGGTTTTGTTTTGTTTTGGGTATAAAACTCTAGGCACATTTCCAAATCTGATTGACAAGATTTCTCACTGAATTTTATCTAAACAAAATTTGTCACACTAGATTTTCCCTTGCTCTTTCCCTCCATTTGTAGATCAAAGTTAAACTTCTAAAATTATTTTTGCTATATTCTGCCCCTCTCTATAATATATTTAAAAAGAGTTAAGAATAATGTGGATAAATTACAAGGTTTTACAAATAGATGTCTCATAACACAGAGTTAGGTTTTAAAGGATTGTGAAATTCCTTCAATAAGCAAAGAATCTAGTAATAATACTACTACTTTGCACTTCTATAGCGCCTTTGACCTGAGGATCTCAAAAGTGCTTTACAAACACTAATGAATTAATCCTCACAACACCCCAGTGAGGTAGGTAATTTAATTTTAAAAGAAATGATTCATAGTGTCTGATTAGAAGATGCACATACACTAAATGTGTCTCCTTTTATTTATTATTATTTTTGGTTGGAAGAAAATATAAAAATAAGGCTCAAGCTTTTCTGACAAAAAATATTCTGTGGTAGTGGGTGTGCAAAATCAGTCTTCTGTTCCTGTTTTCAAGCAGCTAAAAATTTGACCTTAAGAATCTTGAAATACTTAGAGTTGAAATGCATTCTTACAGATCATTATAATTTCCCTTTCATTATAATTTACAAATGAGACAGTCAAGGTATTAAGAGATCGCTTGATTACTTAATGACAGCCCTAACAGCTCGATAGAACCCAGAATTTCTGGTGTCTTTTTCCCAGTGTGCTTTGATAACCAAAATGTGAATGTTAATTTGCTATTCAGATTTTAGAACTGCCTTTCCCATAGGCAATTTCCTGCCCTTGAGTTCGTTTGTGTTTTTTTGTTTTTTTTAACAACTGAAAGTCAGTGGCTTTCTACGCTTTGCTTTTGTTTTTTTAAAAAAGGTGTCTGGAGAAAAACGTTTAAAATTAATGTTGTTTTTTAAGCAATTGATCTTGAAGGATATTACATGGGCTTACATTGTGGGTTTCTGAGAGAGTCTGCATTTTTAATGAGGGTTTTATGTTGCTTTAAAATCTACGTTAATTAAAAACGAATTTAGAAATACTTTAAGAATGAGGTCATTTTCACCTTCTATAAGAAAGAAGATGGTTTGTTATTATAGTTAAATGTGAAAAAATGACTCATTAATGCAGGAGGTCTACTTTAATAGGGGTTCAGTAAATACAGTCAAAGCAATTAAGCAGTTAGTTTGCCATTTTCCTAAAGGTCTGTCATTAATATTATGATTTGGAATTAAAGGTCTAACATAGAGTTACTGAAACTGCTACACATTTTACTTACATTGGGAAAAGGCCAACAATTTTAAACAATAATCATGTCCTATGATTCTTTTCTGATATTTCACTGAAGATTTTAAAGAACTAATATTTAAAATATATACTCTAAGAAGGAATTAACAAAGTGACTAACATTTTGAAAAGGGCCATTAGGAGGATAAAAGGAGTTCTTTTTTCATGTAGTATTCTTAACTGCATTTAAGAATTGAAGACAAGAATCGTTATCTAGAAATAGTATGTGTTTTGAGAATTAGAGTAAATATCATTGTATTTTTTATTTTAAATATTTTATTTATTTATTTTTCGAGAGAGGGTCAGGGAAGGAGAAAGAGTGGGAGAGAAATATCAATGTATGGTTGCCTCTTATGCGTCCCCTGCTGGGAACTGGCCTGCAACCCAGGCATGTGCCCTGACTGAGGATCAAACCTGTGACCCTTTGGTTCGCAGCCCCCGCTCAGTCCATTGAGCTATGCCAGCTGGGGCAATATTATTGTATTTTAAGTGATAGATTAAATAACGATCATGCTAACAGTTGAATCCCCCCCCAACCTTGAAACTTGATCTTATTAATAGTAATTTGGTGCATTTTAGCTAATTTCTACATTTTCTACATTTTTAAGCCCTCTCATTCTGGAGCTTCTAAATCTGTGTTGTTTTCAGCACAGTCAGTGTCTATGTCACTGATTATAAATGTATGCACCTTACACCTCATCTGGTGCCTTTGTTTCAGAGCCTAACACAGATTAGATTTTATGAATTCATCCAGCACAAATAATGCCCCCTTTTTTTAAACTATAAGATCTTTTATTATACAGTTATAAGCATGTAACTCTATAACATAGCACTATTACACTCAAGCACACCATATGACATTTTTAGGTAAAACGTTCAATAAAACTTATAAATTATTATATTCATATTATTACCCTACCAACCACACTCAAGCAGGCATTACTTCTGCTGGGTGCTGTATCTGTAAAATAGTGTTACATTTTGAAAAGAAGAGAACTTAGAGATGGTCTGTTCTAATTTTTAGATTAATTTCAGGAAAAGCTTACAATACCAGGTTAATATTTCTTAGTTTAAATTTAATAGCAAAGCTTTGCAATTAGAACTTCGTTCTCTAAATTTCAGTCCAGCTTCTTCTTACCACCAACAGCTATTCTAGCACATTCCAAGGCACATTGCTCCCTGTCTAGTGAGCAGTTCATCTCTGATAATGGCCCTAGTGCTATTTGCAAAACACAGTGACATTTGCACTATTGAGATTTTATCCGCTCACCTGCTTCAAGCTTGGCAGAGTTTTCTTGTAAAACTTTACTTGACTGGAAACCATTTTTCACTTGCACATTTTGTTGTCCTCCGTTAAGAACAGGTCATACAGTAGCAAGCATGGCACATTACACTTTTACATCTTTAATCCGCCTTCTGTCTCACTTTTTTTACCCTTCAGCCATGGCAGGTCCCCTTCCTATAATCCTGTTGGGGATCTCTTGTTGCCTGTCCATCTGTCCCCCAGTCAGAGAATTCCAGTAGTCATTTAGAGGGCCTTTATTCAGTTAAATATATTTCAGCTGGTGATCCTGTGTCATATAATAGCATTTTTATAACTAATACGTTTGAGTAGTTTTTGTTGGACAGATTCTCTGCAGTAGAAGCAGGGCAGAAGGGTAAAATAATGCCCACCATGTGGTCAGTAAGGGTCCAAACTTTAAAAATTAATTTATTTTCCATTTATAGTTAACATACAATATTCTGTTAGGTTCAGGTGTACAACATAGTGATAAGACATTTATATCTTTACAAAGTGATCACCCCAATAAGGAGTCCAAATCTTTGATACCCAGTCTATGTCCAAAGTAGGTGACTCATCTTTATGTTCTTGTTTTCATAGTTCATATAAAATAGGTTTTGACAAGGTAGGTATGTGATGGGATGTGTTTTTTGTGTGCGTGTGGGTTTTTTTTATTATTTAAAGGAACAATTAAGGAGAAAGGTGGAAGAAATTTTCATTTCTTCCTGGATTCTTATAGATTGGTATACATACAGCCTTTGTTTTCTGTTTTCTAGGACTGCTGGTAACTTTCTAGGACTCCTTTCTCATATTTTTGTTCTTAATGTGATATTCCTAAAACTTTTTTAACAGGATATAGAAGAAACCTTTGCATGCTTATCACAAAAGAACGATATAGCATTGTTAATGTGATTGTATTTTTCTTTGTGAAGACTTAGAATGGGGCTCAAAATCAACAAGATTCAGTTTAACAGAATTCACTATCATTATACACAGGGGTTGATTTAGTTTGATGTAGATTTAAGTGAAAGAACGGACCTGTTTTAGGATGGTGTGGCAGCATTCACTTAACCTGTTACTTACTGTGTGGCAGTCAGAATAACAAATTTAGATATGTCATTGGGGAGTGGTTGAAGGGATAGTATGGTATGGCCAAAAGGGACTATGAAGAGTCTTGATATCTTGATATGTAGGGATTCATGTGGAAAGAAGAAATTGATTTACTTTGTATACAGAAATAAATACACAAGAGTTGGATGCCCCTCTGCCACGAAGAAGGAATATGCAAGAAGTTCAAGAAAATATCACTGTGATTCTTCCAAATCAAAATATCTATAAAATAAAGTTCCTCTTCTAAGCCTTATCTGTTCATTTTTCATTCACTTTTTGATGTGATTTTCAGAGTATAAAATGTTAGAATCACATGGGGCATGTATTTAAAATGCATATTCCTGGACTGTACCTCAAACCACTAAATCAGATTTTGGAGAGGCTCAAGATGCCAACACTTTAACTTTTTTTTTTAAAGTCCCTTGGAGATTTCACCCGATAGAAAATGTAAAATTAAAATTGTCAGTATTCCAATACCAGAATAATGATAAAAGCTCCAAAATACAGTCTCAAGTTTCTATTATTTAAAAATACTATTAGCCCTGGCTGGTGTGGCTCAGTGGATGACTGAGCAATGTCCTTTGAACCAAAGGGTCGCTGGTTTGATTCCCAGGTTAGGGCTGGGTCCCCAGTTGGGGGCGCGTGAGAGGTAACCACACATTGATA